ATACCCGAGCTTTAGGAATATACGGATGAACTTCGTGCCTGGCCCAGAAGAGAGTCACGTGAGTGGGAAGTGATTGTCCTGCGAATTTAACGCATATGGTACGTGAAGGCACATATTGAGTGTTACCGCTTATCACAACTTTCCTATTTAGACGATGTACGCTAATGATTTTATGATTTTGTGATGTAGACATAGAGGATTTAATTTCAGCCACGTCAAAATCTTGCGGAATGTCTTTGATAATACCTGTTCTCAGGACTCTATAATTAGGTATTACTGCCTTTAGGTTAAAGGTTGCAAGATCCGGGTTAGAAACGAGTTTGTTAGCAGCCGCCGCTGACCTGCATACCACTATTATTTTGCCGATACCGAGGCGTTCCATCTCAACGATGTCGGACGCAGGCATAACCTTACCTACTTGAGCGAAGATTTTCACGGATGCTGCGTGCTATTTCTGCTGTTGCCTAGCGCGTGGACGTGAACAGCGTAAGGAGGGAGATCTGAAGCCGTGTATGTATTTGCCTTCTCTTCAATTTTGCGCGTTTTATTAGCTTTACCGGAATCGCTGTTGGACCCAGCGTTCGAGCCGGTCGAAATTTCAGAGCGGTGAGAAGGCGCGGATTCTCGTGGTCCAGACGCCGTGGAGGTAGAAGCAGCCTCCGAGTCTCGGAAAGTGCGTTTGTTACCTTTCTTAATCCCGGCTGAAGACGATGCCCTCTCCTGATCGTTCGTCGTCTGCGATGATCGTGCGTCGTCTTCGCAGATCATTTCATCGCCAGAGATATTTTTGTTAAGATGCTGGGATTGAGAGTGCGCAGTAGTGTTGTGCGCAGGAATAACACTGTTAAGATGTTGTTGATCCGAATCCGGAAGCACACCGAGGCCCGCGTTTGCATTTACAAGGGGAGGGGAAAGGGAATGGGATGGCAGAAGATAGGATTGAGAGGAAAGAGACGCTGGAGATAAAGGGGAAAAGCTTTGAGAGAGGGCTAATTGCCCCTCAAACGTAGAGAAACTTTCGAGCGGAACCGATAAAGTCTGGTTTTCCGATGGGGGGGGGGGGACGCGCGGGGTCCGAGTATGGCGGACTTGCCGGCACATTATCTCGGCCCCCAGCGCCCGAGGCCGAGGCCCCGTGCATATCGGGAAATGCGTACTTAACTAACGCAGGGGATAAAGGTTTCGCGTGAGAGAATAAGCCCGAGCACCACTTGCCGAAAATTATCCGGCGGTGAATGAACAATAGACACTATACGAGAGCACACTAAGCACACGACCGTACCGTGACGAGGTCCACACGCGAATCCCGTCCGCTCCCTCGAGGAGCAATCAAAGAGTTTATATACATAGAGTAGAAGAGACCTAGCGGCGCCTTTGACTGGAACCGTGAGCTGATAGAAAGAGAAAGAAAATGGAAGAGCGAAGGGTACATCCATCTTTTATCTTTTTCTCGCATGCGCAATTGAACAAGGATGCAGATGGGCGACTCGTTTTCTGTCTCTTTTTATGTGCTCACGCATTCTTAGCTGGCTCCTCTATACCTTGGGAGCAATACAGCCTGAATACCAATAGCGTGGGCCAAAAGGCACTAGACTCGGTTATATAGTGAGTTGTAGGGATTTGAGGTAGGCATAAATGATGCTGCAAAATCTTGGAGAAGGGTCTTTGATCATAGGGAAAATATCAATGACGAAAGTGGGAAAATTTTTCTTGATGAAGGTACGAAGTTTACCAGACTTGTGGATGCAGAGCGAGCAGTAGAAAATGATATGATTGATGTCTTGTCTTGCCTCCCCACAGGGACAGGCTGGAGAATATACAATATTTTTCCTGTGTAGGCTATAATTCAAATTATAGTGATTGCTCCGAATCCGAGAAATGCACACAATCTCTTCTCTTTTTAATCTTTTATTTTTATACCACGGTTTGGGGGATTCGTTGAGATACAGCTCTGCGTGTTGAATTCCCTTGATAAGGGAGGCCTTTTCTAGGTGATGCTTGAACGAGTCTTTTCGATGTATGTTGGCCTCGATCTGAAGGTCCGTGAACGGAGCCGTGATAGGGGTCTTGATGCCTCTGGAAGCTGCTAACTTTGCCAGCAGGTCCGCCTTTTCGTTCCCTGGTATTCCTTTGTGGGCCGGAACCCAGCAGAGAGTTATCTTCTTTCCCTCGGTCTCCGCCAAGATGAGACTTCGTTTGATGTGGTGTATGAGATGGTTCCCCTGTTTGTAGTTGGATGTGGCGATGGCAGAGAGGACGCTCCTAGAATCCGAGAATGTAACCGCTTGCTCAATTCCCAAGTCAGAAACAGCCGTGATCGCTTGACGGATAGCCCATGCTTCCGCGGTGAAAATAGAAACTGATGAAGGAAGCTTATGGCAAAGGATGAAGTTAGTGCTAGGAGAATAGACACTCGCTCCTACAAAAGCTTGATCGTCCAACTTGGAGCCATCTGTATAGAAAGCTGTGGCTTCTAAGGGTAGATCTGCACAGTATTTCAGAAATTTAGCCTTGGCAATCATCAGAGGTGTGTCTTTTTGTATGTCCGTCATTGATTGAGCCGTCAAAATTTTTTCCATAGATAGAGAGCGCGGTAGTCGCCGTCAAATGCCGGAAGGAAGGTAGAGCGGTGGACGTCTTTTATTGTGTGCCTGGTAGCCAGGTATCTGTCAAATAACGGTACATTCTTTCGAGCCCTGATTACGAGAACGTCGGTGGAGGCCGAAGATTCTATATGCTTCAGACTAAGAACCGGACTGCTAAGAACCGGACTAAATTTTTGAGAGTATGCTTTGGCCAGATATTTGTCCGTAAGGTAAATAAACCTTATTCGTAAAGGCCGTATCACACTACGTATTGCGGACGCGGATCGGATTGGAATTGCGGATCGCCGGATTTGGATTCTTTGTTCACACTACGGATTCAATTTGTGGAATACGCATTTTATTCGTCTGCTGTGTATGACAATGTTCAGTTTACAAAATTACTATTATAATCGACACATAAAAAAAAGAAACTGTGTTCATGTCTGTTACTTTTAATAATGGCTGAACATGAATCGCGTAAGCGGAGAATATGGGTTTCTAAATGGATAACAAAAAGAAAAGAAAAAGGTTTGCACCATAACCTTTTTTTGGAACTTTTATTAGAAGACCCTAATTGATTCAGAAGGTTTGTTATAAATTAAATATAAAAAATATAATTTACAATTAAATTTACAATTAAATTACTAAAAATTTTTATTTAAAAAAAATGTATTGTTTAGGTGCCTCAGAATGGATGCAGATACTTTCGAATTTCTTTTAAAAAAAGTTACTCCTCTAATCAAAAAGCAAAATACTCATTTACGAGAAAGCATTTCACTTAATGAAAGACTATCGGTTACTTTGCGGCATTTAGCAACAGGTAAAAAACAAAATAAAATCAATTAATAATAGTTGTATATTTTTTAAATAAATCTTTTTATATGTTATTCCAAAGGAGAAACGCAAGAATCGTTAGCTCTCGCATTCAGACTTGGTAGAAGTACCATTTCAAAAATTATAAAAGAGGTAACAATAGCAATAATTACGGTTTTAAAAGGAGAGTTTCTTCGCTCTCCCCAGACTGAGGATGAATGGCGTGTGATTAGCAATGATTTTGGAGAGCGATGGAATTTCCATCATGCACTTGGAGCAATGGATGAAAAACATTGCGTTATTGATCCTCCACTACAATCTGGATCTATGTACTACAATTATAAAGGAAATTACAGTGTAGTATTATTGGCTTTGGTGGATGCACAATTACGTTTTATTTATGTTGATGTGGGAACTAACGGCAGAGTTAGTGACTCTGGTGTATGGAATAAATGTTCTTTCAAAAATCATTTAGATAAGGATACTCTACACATTCCTCCTCCTGCTCCATTGCCAGGTACACAAGACAATTTTCCTTTTGTGATTATTGGAGATGAAGGTTTTACATTATCAGAGAAACTTTTAATTCCTTATCTACGACCTCAATGTAGTGGGAACATACGCAGAAGTATATTTAATTATAGGTATGTGGATTATTTGTATTAATTTTTGTCATATTACAATACTGAAATACTTTTTACTCGTGTTATATATAGATTATCTAGAGCTCGACGTTGTTCTGAAAATGCTTTTGGTGTAATGGCTGCTCGTTTTCAAATTTTTCGATCCGCAATGAGATATGATCCGGATGACGCAAGTAAAATCATTTTAAGTGTATGTTGTTTGCATAACATGCTAAGAAGTCAGTCTGTTGGACGACTTATGTATACACCACCATCATTTCTTGATGGAGAAGATGAAATCTCTGGTCAAATTCGTCATGGGGAATGGAGATCCGAAAGCGCAGGAGGTATGATAAATTTAACTCACCAAGGTGGTAATCGTCATCCAAATCAAGCAATCGCACTTACAATTAGAGATAAGTGGTGTGATTATTTTAATACTGTTGGTGCAGTTTCTTGGCAAGAGCGAATGGTGCGAATGCAATAAATTTTAAATATTGAAAACAATAAATATAATTACTACTATTATGTGTTATTACTTGTGTTGAAATATGTTTTACTTTGCTTTAAAAAATAAAATTCATTTTATTCATTATATTTCATTAATTTTTTATTACTAATACAGTCTTACAAAATTCCTTACTGCTAATAAAATGAGATTTTAATTATATCATAAAATAAAAGAACTTTAGTTTTTAACAATATTTAACATTTAAAAAAATTAACGAATATATTATCGAAACAATCAGTAAAATCTCAGATTATTTTATTATTATTATCACACTATTATTAGTAAATGTATGAGTTAATATGAAAAACAGGTGATCTGTTGTAATGTAATATAATAATTTGAAATTATTCATTTATATTCATCTCTTTGGCAACCAATGAAAATCTAGTCAAAACGTATAACATAATATAAAAATTGATAAAATTAAGTTAAACAAACTTAAAAGCAATGTAAGTTATGCAGTTAATGATAAATATTGACATAATATGAATAGTATATAATGAAAAGTATAAAATATGAATAATATATAATTAACATTAATAAGGTACAAGTTATTGCTCATAATGTTGGTTGACTTAGCACTTTCAAAATTTCTCTTTCAAAATATTCTCGATTGCTAGGAGTCATTGATCGAAGCCTAGACGCAATGTACGCACCAAACATATCAAATGTATCCATTTTTGGAGGAGACACATTTTCTTGGGCCATATCTTTTATGGCATTTACAGCATCTTCCATTATTTTAGATTTTTTTAAACTTCCTTGTTTAACATATAAAGAATTCTCAGGAGGGCGTTTAGTATTTAACGAAGCTAATGCGGTTCTAGAAGAAAGATCTGATGTTTCATTTATTGCCAATTTGTCTTGACTAGTAGATGAGATAGGTGATTGACTAGCAGATGTCATCGCAATTGATACTAGATCTGAGCTGGCTTCTGAGCTGTATGATTCCATGGAGGGTGATATTTTATCACTGTTCGTACATGCATCGGATGGAATAAGCATGTATTGCTAAAAATAAAAATCCAAATATATAAAACAATTTTTATAAAATATTAAAAATTTTTATATTATAATAATAATATTAAATTTGAACATAGATATTAATTGCTAAATAATTTAAATGATATGAAATATTTCCATTAAAAATAACAAAAATAAACATATACATAAAGTTTAAACTTACCTCTATGTTTTCATCACAATAAATGTTTGGAACCATTGATGTGTTTTGCACATCAGTACAAGTATGAGGAACAGAGGAACGATTCACTGTTTCCTGATTGGAATAATTTTGTAAAGACAGATTATCAATGCTGTCGCTCTGTGTACAGGTTTTTTTTAAAAATAAGAGCATATCGTAATATTCCCACTTTGGTTTATAAATTTCATCTGCTCCTTTCCCACTACAACGAGTTTGCGATTCTCTTATTCTTCTTTCATTTGCACGGAAAGTACTTTCCATATTTTGAAACCGCTTGTAAACTATATCTCCTACAACGATAAAGTAAAAGAAAATGTGAAATGAATAACATAATTTTTACATAACATCACACATTTCAACATCTCAAGAACTATTGAAGTATATAGTTCAGTGTCAACAACTCAATCGCATAACCTTTATTCAATAATTGTTTACGACTATATGTTCACACTATTAATTTTTATAGACTAATTATTTTTATTTTCATTTCAAACAATAACATAAGCTAAAATAAATTCAAAAGATAAATTAATTAATATACCTGTAAATTTGGGACCTAGAGCTTGCGCTATTCGATCCCAATGTACTCGTTTAAGATCAGTTCGACGATATTGTTCCATTGTTGTGTCCCATAGTAAAGGACATTGTTTCACCATTTCGATCATCGAGCATTCGACATCTTTTGTAAAAAGATCATTTTTCGGGCCCATTTTATGAATGTCAAATAATCACCGTAGAGCACAGCAGAGATGGTATATTTTTGCTCGCCGATCCACGATTTATGGGTTATGTTGAGGTCGTGTGACATAAATAGGTCACATGATCAAAACTCAGTATTTTATTGGCTTGGATCACAAATTACGGATCGCAAAAATAGAGAGCCGTCTATTCTGCGACTTGCAATCCGGATCCGAAGCTACCTCGCTGTGATTGGTTAAATTCCGATCCGCGATCCGCAATTCCAATCCGATCCGCGTCCGCAATACGTAGTGTAACACGGCCTTAGAGGCCTGTTCTACAATACGTCGTATGTCGTTGTCGGATGTCGGACGCATGCGCATTGCATTGTCGGCTGTCGTATAAAGCTGTCGTGAGTCGGTTGTCGATGTCGGAATGAAAGATGGTCAAGTCCCATCTTTTAGATCCTTACGACTGTGCTTACGACTTGT